GAGAGTGAGGTCAGCGGCTCAGCGCGCCTTCCTCACTATAGACAAGCTGACTCGCACTTTAAGCTAGCACGGTGCGCTAAAATCCGTGGCTTGGAAGGTTGCCAACTGACGGGATGCTTCGGACATAATTTTCTAGATCCAATCGTTAATCGAGTCGGTGTTTATTGGGAATAGAACCAATGGTAACTCCTGCACTGGACTTGCTCTGCAGATGGTACTAGTCGTAAAATCTGACTACGCCTCATTTTCGAAAGAGAAAGTCAACATGCTTTCTGTTTTGCGTTAGTCCTGGTAACTCTTGAAGACACAAAACGCGTGTTTGATAAAAATAGGAAACATCTGCTGGCTTGCATGCACACAAGAGTTCTCATCTACCGATCATATACAGTCCTTCTTGTTCCTTTCGGTGACAACAGGCCCGCAGCAAATTACTATACTGTCAGCTTTTAGTATTTGTTGAAAGATAAATATTATTGCTTCTCGGTATAAGGTGGAAAAAGACAAATATTCTGTCAATGCCGTTTGATCTTGACACTGGCCAATAAGAAACACAACCTGGCACGTGTAAGACAAAGAGGGATGCAAGAGAACGGTATCATTGACACTGACTTCACTTGGACTGATGTAAAAGTGCGAGGGATCCAATGATTCGACAAAAGCAAGGACATAAAATAGAACTCAAAAAGCCAAGAAATAAATGAAGCACAAGTCTTTGGCCTTTTATAAACTCGGCGTTTTTGGAGCGGCGCTGGGTTAGATCTCGAACCTTGAAGCGATTCCTTTTTCCACTGACAGAATGTTCAGGGTAACGGCCTGATACTTTTAAAGCAGCAACAGATGACTAAAGTGTAATTTGTGTTCCCATCCAAACATATGATGAGTCTATGGGTGATGCAGTACGTTTATCTTCGTCACTTAGCGCATTTTCAGGCGAAAGTCGCGCTCGTTTATCCCCTCTCGGTTCGCGGAAAATATCTTGCTAAGGGTAAATGAGGCGACAAACCTGTAACTCGATAACGAAACAAGCGCAATTCATAAATGGAAAAGGAAACTTCCAGACATTATTATAATTAATCGGTAAATAACTCTCCTCACTATGTGTCTAAATCTCAATAACCTTACCTATTTAAGCCGTCATTCTCAAAACGTCCATTGGAAAAGATATTTCTGATAAAGTATTTTTCATAATATTTAATATCGTCATAAATTGAAGTTCAGTTTGCCCAAACCCTTCAAGAGGAGGAAAGAATGCACTTATCTGTCTGTAAACGAATGACACAGCTGTGATCTTCTCTGCTGTTACAGGTATTGCCACAGTAGTTTTAACTTATGGTGCATCTTTAAGAGGGGTCATATACCGGTTAAGAAAATAGATGGAATCAACTGATATTTTTTCCATCGTCTGTTTTTAGCTGTTATGTCGGTGCTCAAACTAACTGTCTGGCGTTGCCCTTGACTTACTGCTATCGAAGTAGCGCGTTCGGACTCTCAAAACGGTTTGCCGAAACCTGTATCACCATATGCAATGATTAATCGTCATTAAAGTGCTGCGTTACTATTCTTGTACTTAGCTTGTTTGCAGAAATAAATCAAGTGCTGCGATACTCGTTTTCACCGCATTAGGCTCAAATGTTTTATTGTCCTGCATTTATGTGAATAACTTAAATCTGTTTATAAAAAATTAAACAATGAAGAGGCTATGCATGCATTATAGAAAAACGAAATATCATTGGTGTTTCTGTTTGCCCAGGAAGAAACACACACATCCGACGAGTTGTGTGAAAAACTGTCTCCTACGTCAGAGGCAGTCAGCAGATCGGAGTTCTAATGGGGAAGTGGTACAGAGGACACTCTTTATTACCCTACATGCAAGAACTTTCTGGAGTGATCTCTCGACAATTATATCGGCTCGGCAGCAGCATCGCTCACAAGCCGTCGTCCTCCTTGAGGGTAGTTTCATCTCGCGTTAATGACCACACACGGAAAGAGCACCAAACCAATGTAATTTACCGCATTCCGTGTGCTAATTGCTCTAGTTGCTACATAGACCATACAGGTCGGGACCCGCATTAATGAACATAAGCTGGCCATTCGAATACGTGATCTATTGTCTCCCGTGTTTGCGCACCCTATTGATTATGACCATCGTTTCAATTGGGACAGAAATGAAGTGGTCGCCACGGCACGATAATTAATCGAAGATTGACACTCCGGCACAGATAACATCAACAGGCACGTGGATCTCGATTCACACTATGCCGGTTTATGCGCATGGTCCACTAACTTGCGCCCAGCGTGAAACAACAACTGTCTATCCGTGCTCGGCGAAGCAGAACTTCACTGATTCTGTATCCCTTCGCATACGTGGCCCACAATCTAAACGTTTACACCCACTCTCACTTGCAGCACCTATCGCAGCAGGATTCATGTCGCCCTAACTCCACACACTCCACCCCCGTTCGATGTAACCTCTGCCCCCAAACCCTCTAGTGCGACAATCCCAGCCCTCACCTTTTATTTAGACCGACAACGGGCAAGTGTTACCTGCTTGAAAATTCACGAATAAAACTCCATTTTTCGACGAGCCTTCTTTCTTCCTTCATCATTTCAATAAGGCAGCAGCTACGAACTACACAGCCTGCAGTGACGTCATAAGGTTTCGCGATCCTATTGAGTACCTACTAATAAGATGACCT